GAGAGAGGAATAGAGAGAGAGAGAGATGTGGACATAAATATTATATCTTTGTGTGTGTATATATATACAAAACGGGACACTGTGAGAACACGCCATACATACTGACATACATACACGTACATACACGTTATGTTTGTACACAAGCATGCATTAGACATCTACACATGTACATATACATATACATACACATATTCATACAGTGGCACATATACGCCACAAATGCATATAGAAACAGATAGGAACATTCATAGATAGATGGCGAGGAAATTCTTATGCACCTGTACCGTGACACTTCAAATCATGACAACGAGTAGACATGGTACATAGATGATACCTGACTATACAACAGAAATGGGACATTGGACCTGAAACATTGGCATGCGACAAATCTCAATCGCGCAGGTCTGGCTGAGCAGAAGCACCAAGCCCGGATGCAAAAAGAGCTTTTGTCAAAAAAAACGGGAATGCTGCACCAAACCCTGAACCGACACCCACTAGATCCTAAACCTTAACTCTCTCTGGCCCAGTAACCGGGACTCCAGAACAGAGCAGATGACGCTGACAGCAGACTGCTCGTCCAATGCCCTTGGGAAGTGTTGTCTTGATTTTGCTTCGGGATTGGTCTTAAGGGGTGCAAGGGGGGCAGCGTATCAAGATCAACTACAGGAATGCTGCTCATAGCTTTATAGCTTCCGTTCAAGCCCGCACTGCCACAAGCGTGTCATGATGCGCCCATGATACAATGACTGCGGAAACGGCAACAGATTCGAAAAGCTGCAAAAACGCCAATCCGTCGAGGGTGCTGGCTTATTCCGCCTGTATGGCTTCAGCATATACACGGGCGGTTGACACCTGCCTCGCTGGGCAGATAGGATCCAACCACTGCAGGGTGAATTCAAAGCAGCGACGTCACTTCATCAACCGAAAGTAGAGATAAACCTCAATCCGACAAGGACATGTTGCCAGTTCAACCATTGCTTTTCCCACAAACTCATTGTATCATGCAGCCGACAGTTTCAACCGACGTTGCACAGGCCACATCAAGAGAATTCCGCTGCAGGGTCGGGCGCATGTTTAAAAAGTGTCTGAGCACTCAAACCTGTACTCAGACAGGATCGGAGTGCACCGATGACACTGGCACGAACCCTGCTGCCTGTGAAACACATGGCCAAAATAACAATATTGATGCAATTGCAATGGCCAATCGCCCATGCAGCTTAATTAAACACAACTGTGAACAAGGCAAGGTCGAGTCTGAGAGGCATTGCGGTTTTAAACCTGCCCCTCCGGTTTCGCCTCAGCCCTCCTCCAGCTCCTACGTCACCAAACTCATAGACCCCAGGTTCCGAAATGCTCCACCGAAATGGCCCCACAGGCAACCCAGCAGGCGGACATTGCAAAGAAATGGAAGGAAAAGTCTAGGCGAATCAGGGTGCCTGTGAACTCGAACAGGTTGATGCCGAACATGCGGAGAAACGAGATCTGCAGGCCCAGGAACACGACCACCTTGATAGCTACGGCGATGGAGTTGCCGACTATGCCGTCTTCAAACTCTGTGAAGCCCTGGTGCCGGAATTGTAGGAAGTAGATCCGGTTGCCCTGCACATACCGAAGAAGGCATGCCATTATCATGTACAACACGGGACAGCCAGAAAGCCCAGTTGGCAAAGTTGAACTTCACGAAACTCCGGACCTGCGGTGTGAGAATCTCCCGCGGCAGTAGTCGCCAGTACGGCGCCATGGAGATCCAGCAACCAGGAAAGCAGACGGTGACCGGCGAGACAGGAATCGGATACACGTCGGCGAAGGATGCGATCAGGCGGGCCAAGATGCAAACACTTACATTGGCCAGTGGTGTTAAGCGAACAATCCAGCGAATACCGATGCGGTCATCATGGCCGAATGCACGAGCCATTACCTCAATCTGGCCTCTAGCAATAACATAGTTGAGAACAGGATGAACCAAGATATTGAAGGTCCAATTGCACCAAAACCCATTTCGGGGCAATTCCAACGGGATAAGCACACAAACCAAGAAGCTGAGCACGGGAAGCAAAAGGAGGAGGCTGAACAAGATTGTGGCCACCTCACCAAAACGGTGCAGTGCCGATTTCCCGCCGGCGCAACGATCCTGCAAGTACGGCTTCAATTGAAAACCGATCACATCTGCGACTTTGCCTTGCAGTGGCATCACCACGGCCACGCTGTTCGGCGTTATTGAAAAGAACAACAAAAAGTTGATCGGATGCGCTGACTTTCGGAACTGCACGCGACCTCCGAGCGATCGAAAAGGATTGCAGCAGCATGAAAACTTCCGGCATCTGAACGATCGTTTCGCCGGCTCGTGGCTTTGCGACTCTGAAAGGTCGGAGGGCTCCGGTTCATGACTCTTCAAGCCTGCTTCGCTGTCGCCATTTTCGTTAACGTCGGAAGTGTCTATGCTCTCACCGGCCAGTTCCATCGAGCCAATGTTTTTTTCCGATGGCCATGGCATACCCGGCAGTCTTCAAGCCTGCTTCGCGGTCGCCATCTTCATCAACTCCGGATTTGTCTATGCCCTCACTGGGCAGTTCCGCGGCCAATGTTTTTTTTCCGATGGCCATGGCATGCTCGAGAGTCATCGGTACGATCTGTCTCAACTCTGGAGCCTTGCTTCTTGAGCCAAACTCGCTACAGGACAAGCACAGGGTGTTCATTCACAAGTACTCACAGGTACAGCTCAGCCACGCACGCAACAGCCTCCGCCAAGCTTTGAAGATCCTGGCGACCACCAGAAACACAACGAATCACAGTAACAGTCTTGGCGACATCAGCGCTGATAGTGTTACTATTACTGATCAGGATCGCTGATCCCAGTCAGGAGATTCCTCATGAACAGCAAGGCCATGATACGGTACTTGGGCCTGCACCTCTCCTCACGGATTCAGAGATTCTAGCATGGAAGAAGACAGCTGTGGGAGTAGGATCCGTTCACACCCTACCAGGGCGCTGATTCAGGGCGAAAAATAGGCTCTGATGCCAACGAGAACCCCCGTCCGATAGGCACGGAACCATGTATCTCTAACCATGAGATACGACGCCTGAGGCACTAGAAACTCGAACACCCTGATAGCCACAAGCCCCTTCTCATACCGATACCTTTAGCCCCAAGCCCCCAAGCCCCCTGTAAACCCTAAACCCCAAACCCATAAACCATTGAACCCTTAAAACCGAAACTATGACCCCTAAGCCACTAAACCTCTACCCTAAACCCCGAAACCGCCAGACCCTAAACCCTAAAACCCTGTAGACCCCTAAACCGAAAACGACTGCCCGAACGCTTAAACCCTAAACCCCTCGTAAACCCCAAGCCCAAGAACCTAAACCGCTTCTCTCTTAAACTCGAGACCGCCCTACGAGCCATGGCACCAACTAAACCCTAACCCCTCAGAAGGCTCCTGCTCCATCGCTGCCAGCCATACCCAACACGGCCCAGGAGCCCAAACGCTGCGCCGAGGCGGCCGGATTGCAGAAACTCCGCGCAAAACCAAAAAAAAAAAAAAACAACAGGAAGCGCCTGGACCAGTCCCATCGTGGAGGAATTGCATGACTCAGAGCTGAGAAAAAACCAACAGTCCCCAGCTCCCTAGACTCCTGCGCGCACGAGAAAAGCTTGCTGCTTTAATAATCTCGATGTTCACCTGGTATGGGGAAACGGGGCAAGCATGCCTGAGCCTTTCCAGTCCGTGCAAGCACTCTGTCTGTCCCTCTCTCGAGGCTCTTTTTTTTCTCTCTCTCTCTCTCTCTCTCTATCGCTTTCTTTCGCCAGGATTAGGGGCAAGAGGATTGCTCCCCTTAGCCGCGCTCTCTCTCTCTCTCTCACACTTGCTCTCCCTCTCTCTCCTCTCTCTCTCACACTTACTCTCCCTCTCTCTCTCTCTATCCCCCTGCCTTTAGACCGTTGCGGAGTCGGGGTGTCACACGTCTCCCATGTAATGTAGGATTCCTACTGCCTCTGAACCTGATCTCCAGCTGTGCCGGCAAAATGAATGCCCGAGAACAACGATGAGAAGCACCTGGGCCCCAAATTCCATCCAAAAGCTGCAGTGCTGTGCATCCCCTCCTGGGGGACCACGTCGCAAACAGCGGAGATGGCTTCGCCTTCCTCACATCGACAGAGCTTAGGCAAGAAGCTCCGATGCTTCGCCGTCCAGGCTTCAAGTCAAGCTCAAGAAGTGGGAATTCTGGTTTCACAACACAGCCCGCCCGAAGCGCAAGCCCTCCGTTGCTCCACATTCAGCTATTAGAGGAACTAGAGGAAATGGAACTCCCACCAAAAAGCAAGAAGAGATCCAGCATTAAAGACACCTGATTCCATTCACGAAAGCTCCTGTAGCCCAGGACCTCAAGGCCAGCTCCTTTTGGGCCCCCGACTCCGGTGTCCACAGCTGGGGCGCTGGGGGCTGCTGGGGCTGCCGGCGCCTTGGAGCTTCGAGGAATCCAAGGCAGCGCCCTTGCTACATGCTACCCCGCTGCGAGCTTAAAGGGTGAACTTGGAAGGTCTACCGGGAATAAAGGCTGTGTCATCTTTCCTGTTCTTGCTGCAGATCTTGCTTCCTCGACAAGCAGCCTTGACCATCATTGCACATTGCCCGAACACATTCGGAACTCTGCAATGCTTCTCCGTCTCCGGAGACGGAGAATCATTAGAAGTGAGAAGCTTCAGCATTGAGCTACAAAAGCCAAGGCCTTTGGAACCGGCTCTTGAAAGGTGAAGCCCCTATATAAAACCGCGATTTGGTACCTGAAGTGCTCAGAACAAACATCGCATCATACAGGTTTACAGCACACCTTCCGCACCTTCTGCAGATTGTTCTTGAAATTCCTAGTCCTAGTCTTACGCGATCGTCCAAGCAGTCCAGGCACCGCGGTCTCCGCTTCCGCTGCTTCAGGTTGACGAACCTCTGTACCAGGGCCATCGGCGCCCTCCATAGGGGTGTCCTCCGGCTGCACCTGCTCCAAAACATTCTCAGATTACAGTGATCACGTCGCGACCCTAAACCCTAAACTCCCTAAACCCCAGCCGACTCTGAATGCTTTGTCTCGAGCCGAAGCTGCCTCACCCACGGAGCCTACGGCCTCGGGGTGCTGATATAGAGTTTCGAGGTGTCATTGAAGAATTGAAGACTCTTGTTACACCTTTTGGTCATGCTCAAGCTCTACCACTTGGCATCATGTCAGCAGAGGCTCCTGAGAAACCTTGCCCCAGCCGTCCCGAAAGACTGAAACCTGGCCTCCTCCTTGAGCGCCATGAGCTCTCTGTCCTGGCGGCGATGTTGACTTCAAGTTCCGGGCTGCACAGGGCATTCCCCCCTCCCTGGCATGCTGCCTTCTGCGCCATCTGCTGGAGAAGGTCGGGGGCCTCTTCTTCCTCGACAGGGCCTTGGTCAAGGCGCAGCGGTCTCGAAATCCCAGACCCCAGATTCAGGATGTGATCGTGAAGCCTAGCAGTCGCAATAGTGAAAGCCCTCCAGGCCTGAACACGCAGCCGGAAGGTGCTGACCGGGGTTGAAGAGCTCTTTTCATGATCAAGGTAGGGTGTAGTTTGCCACTGTCTAGGTTCCGCCCGGGTCGAGATGGGTCGAGCTTTGCGATGAACAGATGCTCTCCAACTTCATCAAGGCGCCTTTGTTCTTTCGCCGCTTCTTGCGGGGGGCCTCACAGTCAGAGAGCCATTTCCTAGCACCCACAGCCACACAATCCGGATACCTCCAGTCTCGGAAACTTCACGCGGACTCGATGTGATACCATGGACATCTAGTAACTAGCTACCATAAGAAGCCTTGATTGCAAGAAGAACTGCAACCCTAAGATTCACAATGATAGTACTACTTACGGTACATTAATAAGACTGACAATGACAATGAGAAGAAGGAGAATAGCAGTCATGATAGGATATACTCCGAAAACGAAGACTAACAGGAACAAGAACAAGACGAAGCAAAAGAGCCCAAGTTTGACTTGCAGGACCAAAAGCCCGAACCCCAAGCTCGAACCCCAAATCCCTAAAAAGCCTGCCACCTATTTCCGTCAACACGAGTAGAAAGAGTGCTCCGGAGAACCCAGGAGCCTCTCCAAGTTCCTCTGCGTACACGGCGGCGGCGATGGCATCTTCGCCCGTGGGCGCATCGCGCTTGGTGCCCTGCACTTCAGGATCTTGGGGTTAGGTTTCAAGGCTTCGGTTTAGGGTTCTGGATGGTTCTGGGGTTTGGGGGTTTTGGCGAATTGGGGTGTTTGTTAGAGTTAGGCTTGGTTTGGGGTTCAGGGCTCGGGGGCTCTCGAAGATATCTTTGTGTTTTGGAAAAGGGTGCGCAGTTTGGAGCCTAGGATCCCCGTCGGAGGGGCGACGTGTCCACCCAGAAGATTCCTCGTTGTCTTCTGGCCACCACGGCGTCGCTGCCGCCAACCCACCAAGGCCTGAAATAGAGAACCTCAAAGCCCAGAATGCCAGACCAAGCTCCACACATCGTGCCTTTCAATTGCGCAGCCTTCTGAGCCACGTTTACACACAAGAGTTCACTTTAGGTGACGGATGCATGTACAAACAAAGCTCGAAGCCTCAAATGGACTGTGCCTATCTCACACTTATGCATGCACTATGCGATACAACATAGCGAGGATTCGTTCTGGTGTCCGGTGTGAAAATGCATGGTGGTTGTATCAACCTGTATTGACATGTTATGTTGCTTTCAGCAGCACTCTCAGACACAGATAACATTGGCTAATCCTCTAAATGCTGCATTGCTTTTTCATGAACCCACAGTGTTTAGTATGACAGACACGTGGTGAAAGTCTACACATCCAAGCACAAAGCAAAACCTTGGATAAAATGCTTCATCGCATGTAACCGACAAGCTGCATCAAACAATGGCTTTCTCTCTTGGAATAGTATCAACAGGGCGATAATGCAACCCCATCCATTCAAACTATTCTTTGTTTAAATTGTTCTTCATTCGTTCTATATAGAATTTCTCTTGCTTCTTGATCATCCCTCAACGTCTTCTCAATGCGAATCATAGTGGCTGCAGAGGTATAAATGGGAATGCAAAAAATACCTGCATGTACACAGCTTGTATACATGAGCGAAGATGTTGAAAGCAGTCAACACACTCTATGTTAGTGAATGAAGGTGTTCCCATGTAGAAATGCCTGAATACAAATACAAGAACAGAGAGTTAAAGATTGTGCCGCATGTCCTTGCACGATTGTTACTCTTATTCCGTTCAACTGGTGCGAAATTGGCTCGGATACAAACCTCATTATGAAGATGCAATTTGGTTCGTTGGAGAAAAACACATGTTCAGCCATAGTGTGCATGTGGGTGACACCGAGGGCAGACGCCACGAGTGATTTCTCTAAGCTTGCAAAGTTATTACTCCAACTTCTTACATAAGACGCAATGCTTCTGCACTATCCAAAACCTGACTCCAGACCACAAATCAAGTAAATGCACATATTCAAGAGACCACAGCACTAGTAGATATATGATGTGTATCAACAGCCGCAACCGACTCTGGTTTGTATATAAACAACAAATCCAGCATGTGAATAACATGTCCTTCGATTTGCTTGAAAACGAATTGAAGATGAGAATTGAAAATTACATTCAATGATATGCTGGCTTTTCTGTTCTACCAACAAATCCCACGAAAATAAACTCTTGCCGATGCACCAATATGTAAAACATAAACGTGCAGGACTTCTACGTTGGGAACACGACTGATTGAAACAACTGACACGCCAGACTGCTCGAACCGTAACTTACCAACATATAGGCTTGCAAGAACCCTAAACCCGAGCCTCTAAACCTAAACCAATGATATATTGTACTTCACATGTGTATGTATATGTGTATATATATATATATACATATACGAATGTATGTGTATATATATATATATATATATCTGCTAGTCCATTCTGCATTTATGTTTGATTGATATGCTTTTTAGTTACGCACGCATTTGTTTACTTGTCTATTCGTTTAGGTATATTCTCATTTACACGTCGAATTGATGTTTATATTTATACTTATACTTATTTACATGTGTACATACATATATGTATGTATGTATGTATGTATGTATGTATGTATGTATGTATACATATATATATATATATACATACGTATACGTATGTGGTTCCATAAAAACAGACAGACCGACAGACCGACAGACCGACAGACCGACAGACCGACAGACCGACAGACCGACAGACCGACCGACAGACCCGACAGACCGACAGACCGACGGACCGACGGACCGACGGA